TCCTATATACCAAAAAATTGTTCATTTATTCTAGTTTCTGAATCTGAAGTCATATCTGAAATCCAAATCCGCGTTCAAGAGATATGTGCAAAAAACCGACACCAGTTTCGCTTGTCCATTGGTGTATATTACACAATATAATGTAATATTATGCGTTAGAAATATATTCTATTAATTTAAATTGTGTTTACTATTAATTAATGCATAAACATAATGCCTATATTATTGGAGTCAACACTTGAGTCTCAATATTATGATAAAATCTATTTATAGAGAACTTGTAAACTTTTAAAAGCATTTAATTTAGTTATGAAGTTAGTAAATATGAGAGCACACTAAAAGTTTTAATTCAAAATAAATCTAAAGTATTTAGTGTTAGATAATAGGTACATATTTTTACCCGGTTACAATATTTTATTAAAACAACTGTATGCCAATAAGTATACTTAATTAATTTTAACACAATTATTCCTACAACACCTGTGGCTTACATTTAATGTCCGTAATAATTACAATAAATAGAAAATTGAAAATATTGTAAAAGCAATTAAGTAAATGTTAATGTATACACTTTTAGTATCATAATAAATGATTTACATTCTCTGAATGCATGTTTATCCTAAATAATGTAATTGATAATTAAGCTCAAAAGTCACATTATTTTATTATAGGGAGTTTATAACATTATTTACAATAATTTTCAATCAATTGGTTAGTCTGAATATATAGACCAATGGTCAACTACAGTACTCCGGATAATAAAGTTAACATTTTGATAGTATAATTCAAATGAAATAAAATAAAATTATTATAATATAAATATAAATATAATTTATAATAAAATGAAATTCTAATAATAAATAAAACAATTACTGACTTTCCGCCCCTATTCAAACCAATTGAGTTCATAATCTATGAAACAATTGATGAAACAATTGATGAAACTATTTTTGATTATATCTTATAAATAGAGATTGTATTGTTTTATAATAATTTACTATTCATTTAATCTATGATTAAAAAGTAAAACATGTGAGGACTGAAAGAACAATGCTTATTTGATATTTTTAACAAATGAGATGTAACCCGTTTTTACAATTTATAATTTACTGTTAATATTTTTACAATCACAATTACTCTACATAAATCCAGTGAATTTATTTTTGTCTTATACCATATTAATAGAATAAAATAAATTCAAAACTTTATAACCGTAACAAGAATTTTAGTATATCACTGTTAATTTTCAGTTAACATTTAAAACATAATTAATTATAAACAATAGGGGGCGCAATCTATCAAACTATGCAATCAATGGAAAAACTATTATAGATTAGAATTATTGAAACAAAATTGTTTTATAATTATTATAAAATGTATACAGGCATGACAGCGATATTTATATTTATCAATTCATTTAATGATCTTGCCCCAATTCTTAAATCCATGTCTTTGCAAATACATTTTAAATAGAATTTTTAATATATTAAATTAAAAATTAGTATATTTCATACAGATATTGAAATATATTCATTAGTCATTGAAAGTTTCAATATTTTTTACGGCAAATAGGGTTAAAACACGTGTGAATTTCTATATAACATTAGTGCTAAACTTATGCAATGTTTCAATTTAATTGCCATAACTTTGCACAAAAAATATTTTCTCGTTATTATAGCACAGTATTTGACATACTGTCTGTTATAAACATATCTTTTTACATAATGTCATATGTTTTTGAAGTTTTGTTTTAATTAAAACCCAAAAAAGTTTGACTTATTTTTTAATTGAGTATTACAACGTGTATTACGTTATCAAATCCCAACATAACATAATGGCAATCTTATATAGTTTATTTTCCAAGGTATTTATAAACTTTAACACTATTAAATTTGTTATTGTTTTTACACAACTTTTTTTTAATGAGATTAATGATTTTGAGTGAAAATTGTTTGGAAACAATATTTTTATATACAATAACATACAGTATTAATATGTTATATAGTATTTGATCTGTTAATTCATCGATTTATTAGATACGATAACATCATATTATGTAACAATTTTTACGAATGTCTTTTCAATGAAGAAATCATTTAAAAGTAAAAGTTTGTTTCAATGAATGTTTGAATCATAAACAAATTTAAATGTTTTCTTTATAGATGTGAAAATGTATAACACTTTTGAGAAGTAAGTCAAAAAAATTTCCATAAAATCAAAACCTCACACCAAAATGTCATTCAAAAAATTTCAAATATATTTACAGATGAAAAAGTAACCGAATATATTAGATATTGTCAGGGTATATAATGTACCAGGGTGATGACCAAACATCTATTATACTATTTTTCTGTATGACATGCTATAATTAGGTAAATGTGAAAGGGTTGTCTAAGTTGAGCATACAGTAGCCTCCAAGGTATATTACTAATATAAATATTAGTCTAACTGTAAGGCACCTGACTATTTGACAGTACCTGACCCTTATGGAGAACCCCTCTAATGTATATTCTTTAGACTCATTATTATTGTGGTATCGATGGGTGTTTTGGAGAAAAGTTTGATTTTGAACATAGATTTGACAAACATTTTGAACAAAATACCGGTTTTTGAGTCTGTTTTCCCATTTTAAAGGGCCTTCGTTTCAAAACTCAATACATTTCTAATGTGTTAATAATATTGAGTCTGAAATCCTAACCAAAAACTCGACAGTTGAAAGTTTATTTCAGAGTGTTAGAGAGACACAGAGATCAAAAACCCAAAATAAATATAAATAATTTAGTTTACCAATAATTCAAAAATCAAAAGTGAAAACAACTCACGTATTTTTTAAATAAACGTGGTGTTTTCAATTCAGTGTAAATATACTTTTATTTGCATTTTATTTTGTAATTCACAATTGACGAGAAAATAATTTTGCATTTCTATCAAAACTATTAAAATTAGTTTATTTTTGATTGTCTTTTGGCATCACTTTTGGCGTCGTTTGGACCTAATTTGGTGTCAAAAATTACAATTCATTGATAATTACTATCAGGTATTTGGCAAATAATTTAATATCTAATAAATCCCTCATAATACACCTGTTAATAATTAACAGTTATTACATAGACAATATTGTGCTAGCTAACTAAATATATTTGATGACATTCGCTTATATTTACGATTAGTTTCCACCACTGATTTAATGAAACAATTTAAGTTCAAGTGATACAAATGTATATTATATGATACTTATATCATATAAGTTATATGCAATGATAAATTGTTTTGTTTGTTAGGAATACTGTCTGGAAATTAGAAATATTCCTTCCACTGAATAAACCGGTCATTTAGTGTCATTTATTTCGTAACAGTATTTCTAAATGTATATACATTTTAGTTAATTGTCATATTGTTTATGGTTTCCAATATTAAATTTTAGACAATTTTCCTCATAATAAGAATATATTAATTCTATTAACTCAAGTAAATTAATTTGACTCAATAGTGAACTATAATTACAAAAATAGACAATACATTATTACGTAATTTGTGAATGTTTGATAATTTTGACTTAACTTGATGCCTTATATGACTAAATGGGCGCAATGTCTGGCATTTCAGATGGCTTATAAACACTAACAAATTTGATTTTAAACTAAACAAATTTACAAACTCTTATAATATTGCATAACGAGTGTCGTATAATTTTTTGCATAATTACTAGTAGATCAAATTAAATAATAAATTGTTCATTTAAATATAAACTTAAATAAAAGCATTTCACGAAGAATTCTTAAATCTCATGGTTTATATTTAATTCTAAAAATTAATTCTGTATAATTAACAATCTCATGAGTATTCCCAATTATACCTGATGCTTTATATGGAGGTTAAAGTAATTAGTATTTAATCCATGCTATAAGCTGTGAGGGGAGGGGCGGAGGCGGGCATATTCGTAGGCATTGAGTGCTTGCGTCGCACACTATATCTGAATGACTGGAAAATTGTGCGGAAAATGTGTTGAAATAAAAACAAAAATCCGTTTTTGTTGTCAATTATCGTATGTTTTGTGAATCCATTCAATGATTGCATTGAATCCACTCGAAGACAATCAATTGAGACGTGATTTGAGTTATCATTTGCATTGATATCTCATTTTGTGGTCATTTGTCGTCTTAAACGCGTTGTCACTGTTGACTGAATACCGGCGCCCAATGCCCGCCACCGCTGCCACCCATTCCTCCGCCGATGACAAGCGGTTAAGACATCTGTTGAACTCCAAGTCTATCGTCAAGAGTGACCACCAGTTTGTGGCCACAAATGGCAGGCCTTTCCGCAAACAGGTATGTCATCCACTGATCACCGGTTTGTGGCACCAATAGGTTGTGTCCACAATCACGTGCTTATCATATGGTTAGACATGGATGTGATGTCTGATTGCAGACACAATTGACACCAATTGTGCCGTCAATTGGTGTCAATGAAGACAATACACGAGACATGAAGTGATGAATCAAATGAGAAAAGACAATGAATTGATGAATTTGAGTCCATTTGTGAATCACATGTCAATCAATTAAATGCCTATTAATAGGGGTTTTAAAAAATAAAAATCATTTTATAGTTTAAACGAGACTTTTATGAATTGAATGAAAAGTTTTTATTAACATATAAATAAATAAATATGAAAATATAGTTTTTTATATTTATATATCATATAACTTATAAATATAGCGCTTATTAATACGTTATGTAATGCCTTTTCCTATTGAAAAACCGGTAATCCTTGAGACAGACATTTGATTTGATAGTAACTGAGTGTCTATTAATGTTGCACTAAATCAGCACCAAATCACGTGATTGTTCTAATATAATACTGTTTATTGATATAATGTTAAATAAATGCCTTATACCGTAGACGACACAAAAAATATACAATGCAGCAAATATATACTGTAATTATCATATTTGACTGTATCATATGCTAATAATTTAAATCATCAAATGTCTGGAAAATTATACTAATCAATGATTAGTAATCATCAAAACATTAAGACTTTGAAAAGTTAGTGTTTTAGTGCTAAAAAACCTAATGCCGATAATGGCTTATATTAATTTAAATCCGATATATAGTCGACATAATGATAGAGAAAATGCATGAGAAAAGTGTTGCAAAGGGAGAGATGGGGTCTAATTGTATGCAATGATAATTTGGGTCAATGTCTCACTTGAAGGTTAAGGACAAAAGTGTTGCTGAAGAAGATGTGACAAGTGTTGCAAAACAACACTAAGGCTAACAAGAAGTCACTGTTTTTGTATTAAATCAAAAAATAAATTATAAACCAATTCATTGAGTAACAGATGAATGCAGTCGAAGATTATGCTATCCCTAAGCTGTCTGTCCATTTTGATTGCTCCCTTTCCCTTATCGCTATCTACTTTGAATACATCTGTAAAATATTTTAATATTTCTTTTTAAAAGACCAAAATTGGTGTCTGTTTTGCTGTTTTAAGAGTAAATTTGTTTTTTATGAAAATTTCCAATTTCTCAATCATATTATCATTCGATAAGTCTATGAAATAAGGCCTAAAAGGGAAGTCAGAGCGAAAATAAAGTACATGTGCTCAGTCTTCCGGTGAATGTATTTATAAATTTTATAGTTTATTAATGTTTACCTCATTTGCAGACAATTAGCTGATGTGATAAACCGTTTTTAGATGTAGACTTTGACCCGAAACTGAATAGCATTATTTAGTTATTAATAAGACTTTAAACAACATTTTGATCCCTGATTTGATTTTGCTAAATTTAGACTTAACCCACACTTGCATGTAGTTTACAGTACATAAAAAAGCTTTAATTCTTTCGCACAAAACAAATATTTATAAATAGATTACATCCAAAGTCTTGAATCACACTCGCAATGACATGCATACACACAATGATCACGTTTTCCTGGGGTAATGTCTAATGAAATTTGGGTTTTAATTTCAATTTCAACATTAGATTAATGATATCAATGGCACACAATTCGCACCATTCAAGACAAACGCCAATTACTTTGATCCCAACCTGCCTCGTGAGCGGCCACTTATAGGTCCCAGCTGTTTCAAGTGCACCACCAATCGGTTCCGGCTTAAAGTAAGTCCTTTTAACCATTTCTTAGCCCAATATCTACTCATTATATTAATATTTTTTCAATTGTATTGTAAAAATTTATTATTTTAAATATGTTAAAGCTTAAAAAATCATGACATATTTAAATGTGTTCTTAATTCATCTATCTAATCACATTCAGTACTCACTAAGTTTAATGAAATAAATATTTTTTTCTAAAATTAAACTTTGCTTTTAAAACAATCGATAAGTTTTTATTTCGTCCCTACTATGCATTGCGAGTACTGTTGTCATTGTAACCACTCTTTCCGTTTTCCCAATTTTCATATCAAATCAACACTCGATTCAATTAATAATAAATTTCGTATCAAATCAAAACAAATTGTGGGATCAGTTGAGAGACGAAAAACAAATTCCCATTCATTTTAAGCGATAATCTGTGGAAAAGAGTCCAAAAGTAATAATTCGTGAAAAGAACGTGATTTACGATAGAGTGAGACGGGATCAGAGTCTATGAAATATTTAATTTATTTTACTTTTCATAAATATATACAAAAGTTTAGACAAATTTTTAAAAACTTTGTGCACTTGCAATACCAATATTGCTGTTATATATGATTTTGATTGAGATTAGCATTCAAGCAGTCTATGGTCGCGTTTATGTGCTTTATTAGTGTTTTCAGGTTTCATAATCAGTTAATAATTTACAAAACAAAGCTAAAAATAAAACTAGCAAAATTGAGCAATGTTATGTACAGTGAAACAGACATTTTTTGAAATTCTATATACTTTGGTCCTACAATACTATTTAATGCAAGGAAATTGATGTTTTATTTACGTTTCTATTAGTTACAAATATAGTAATTAGTTGATAGTAATCGGCACAAGTGTTAATACAGTTTTTTATGCAATTGTCAATTGTATATCACTGTATCACTGGTAGACGAGATGTGAGAGGGAATGAAAGTATGCTTTTTTATATGTGTTGGTCTGGAAATGAAATGATGAATAGCTATAATTGTATTTCGATGAGAACTTTAGGCTAACAATCACTTTTTTCGTCTAATTAGAATTTATCTCAACATTTCTTTATCTGTTTCTCCTCTGCCATCAACTAATAGTCAGAAAATGATGTCTTGTTATCAGCCCTGGGTTTGGCTAATATACTCCGAGTGCCGCTACAGAACCGGTGAGTCTATAAAAGTGTTCAGTTTAACCAAATTTTCAGCTTTTTTAGTCATTTCATGTGAGCTCTCGTTTAAATCATAGCTCTCTTATGATTGTGTTTTTAAATCAATTCTGGGATTCAATGAAAATTCTAATTACTTTTAAATCAAAAGTGTTTACAAGTCATTGAATACATATGAATATGATTTTGATTTTTATCCGAAATATTTGATTATAATTTATGATCAATTGTTTGATGAAATATTGTGTTTGAAAATAGTTTTCAAGAAGTTTTTATTATTCTTAGTTTTTTAATTAAAAGCAATTTTATTTCATGTAAAGTTATATAATTTTTAAAAGTTGTTATATTTTTATTAAACGGAAGTCAAACTGATATACTGTGTTTGTTATACTTTTTTAATTCAATTGAAATCCTGTAAACTTGATTTTGAATTGAAAACTCATTGAACTTTCTCAATACTTTTTTTTATATCAAGTGTTTACTCATTTTAGTTTTTAAATTTAACCAAGATTATAATAAATAAATACAAAAATGTCTGCAATTCGTGCTTTAATGACCAGCTATTGCTTTAAAATGTTTACGAAAATACGGCACATGTTTTCACCTAATTTATTGACTAATTCGAGGTATAATGCAATTTGAATGACTATTTATTATTTAAATTTGAATGCCTTATGCGATTAATATTAACGAATATAAATTTTATATTTTAATAATTAACTTCAGGAATGAATAATAGATTCAAATATTTTAATGAGAAATTTTATAACAATATTATTGATTGAGAATATTCTGCACACATGTATGAAAACACAAACTTAATGCCATGTTTTGGTGGCAAAACTTTTTCCATGCATTCGTGCAAATACTTTGAGTTCACATTTTTGTTGATTGTATTTAAAGGAAATATTTTGTTTGTTTTGCGATATGTATGCAGCGATCAGAACATAATCGGCCGTTCCTTTCATTACGCCTCGTTTGTCATGACTCGCAAAGTCGACGCAAACTTCCCGGACGTCTGCAGCAAAGTCATCCGATCCGAGAGAGTCCGCACCGCCATCACAGAGGCTGCTGAGGATGACTTAGTTCCTTTCATTACGCCTCGTTTGTCATGACTCGCAAAGTCGACGCAAACTTCCCGGACGTCTGCAGCAAAGTCATCCGATCCGAGAGAGTCCGCACCGCCATCACAGAGGCTGCTGAGGATGACTTCCACGAGCTCCAGGACGACGCCGCAGGTATTCACTCAAACCAATTGCTATGAATTTGTAGTTTTTATGTGTTTTTACTATTTGTTTAATTGTTTTTCAAGTGATTTGTTTGTCTAATAGTTTGAATGAATTGATTTCTCACTCATAGGTTTAGTAGACGAGAGAGAGCTGAAGACTTTGGAGCGAAAGCACAGATCGCGTGCAATAGATATACTGCAGAGAATGAAATCCTGTATCTCCTCATCATTGCTACGGATCGCCGGTTGGGTTCTCTATAAACTTCTCTCCAAAATACTGACTACTATTCAGTTTCATAAAGGTTTGCATTAATTGGTCACACATTTGAGCCAATGTTGAATTTAATTGATTTTGTGTTATGATTTAAAGGCCAAATCGATACACTGCGCCGGTGTCGCACTGCAGCCAATGTTCCCATTATTTATCTACCGCTCCATCGCTCACATCTCGACTATATATTAGTCTCATTCATACTATACATGAACAAGTTCCTTTCATTACGCCTCGTTTGTCATGACTCGCAAAGTCGACGCAAACTTCCCGGACGTCTGCAGCAAAGTCATCCGATCCGAGAGAGTCCGCACCGCCATCACAGAGGCTGCTGAGGATGACTTTCACGAGCTCCAGGACGACGCCGCAGGTATTCACACAAACCAATTGCTATGAATTTGTAGTTTGTATTTGTTGTGCAATACTGTAATGTGTTTTTACTATTTGTTTAATTGTTTTTCAAGTGATTTGTTTGTCTAATAGTTTTAATGAATTGATTTCTCACTCATAGGTTTAGTAGATGAGAGAGAGCTGAAGACTTTGGAGCGAAAGCACAGATCGCGTGCAATAGATATACTGCAGAGAATGAAATCCTGTATCTCCTCATCACTGCTACGGATCGCCGGTTGGGTTCTCTATAAACTTCTCTCCAAAATACTGACTACTATTCAGTTTCATAAAGGTTTGCATTAATTGGTCACACATTTGAGCCAATGTTTGATTTAATTGATTTTGTGTTTGATTTAAAGGCCAAATCGATACACTGCGCCGGTGTCGCACTGCAGCCAATGTTCCCATTATTTATCTACCGCTCCATCGCTCACATCTCGACTATATATTAGTCTCATTCATACTATACATGAACAACATTAAGCCCCCGCTGGTGGCCGCCGGCGATAATCTACTCATTCCCTTCTTCGGTAATTTGATGCGAGGTTTGGGCGCCTTCTTCATTAAGAGACGGCTCGACGACTCGAGTGGCAAAAGGGATCACATTTATAGAGCTGTCCTCCAGTCATATATGACGGAAAACCTAAAACAGGGAAATTCCTTGGAGTTCTTCATCGAAGGCGGACGCTCTCGGAGTGGGAAAGCCTTGAGTCCGAAGTTGGGTCTCCTTTCTGTTGTCGTCGACTCTATTCTCGAAGGTATTTGTGGTTTGATTTGCGATTTTATGTCAAGTTTTAATCTAAACATTGATTTATGAATCGTAGGCGAAGTGGAGGACGCGTTCATAGTTCCGGTCGCCATATCCTATGAGAAGCTAATGGACGGGTCGTTCGTTGGCGAACAGTTAGGCAAACCCAAAGTGGCCGAAAGCTTTAGTTTAGCCGCCCGTTCCATATGGTCGACACTGCACTCGAACTTCGGATCAGTTAGAGTCGACTTTTGTCAGCCATTCTCACTCAAAGACTACTTGCATAACGCGGCCTATAATATACATAACAGTCATCTGATAATTGAGAACCGAATCCATGACAAGTCGTGCGACAAATCCAAATGTGTGGCCTGTAGTGGTCATCCCAATGGTTTGCCTTCCGCCTCATCCTTTCAGTCTCTTTACGGACTCGATATCGTTGTGTCTGAAGATAAACGCCAGACAATTGAGAAGTTGGCCGAACATGTGGTCTACGATGCGTTCAACGCCACACCATTGATGTCCACCCAATTGGTGTCGTTCCTACTGTTGACTAAACACCGAAAGGGCACAACTCTTCACCAATTGGCCCAAAGCCTCAATTGGACGAACATGTGGTCTACGATGCGTTCAACGCCACGCCATTGATGTCCACCCAATTGGTGTCGTTCCTACTGTTGACTAAACACCGAAAGGGCACAACTCTTCACCAATTGGCCCAAAGCCTCAATTGGCTGCGCGAAGAGTGCAGTCGCAGGAACCGCGAGCTCTCCATAAGCGGCGACTCTCTGGACGTGATTCGCACGGCTTGTGGTTTTCTGGGCAAAGATCTGGTGGCCATCGAGAAGATCTCAATGGCGTGGAGCTCATCCGATGGTTTGGGTGCCATCACTGAGAATAATAACGTGAAGATTGTATTCCTGAAACCGGCGGTGAAGTTACCGCTCGTTCTCGAACTCCAGTATTACTCAAACTCTTGTATTTCCATCTTTTTATTGGATTCAGTCGTCGGTTAGTCTTATGTTTGTTGTTGTTATCAAATCTGTTGTTTACTTAAGACTCGAATATTTGTTTCTTGTAATCAATGTTTCCTCTCTTCTAATCTACTCTTTAGATAACTTTTATGTATTTGTTTTGCTTTTTTGGTGAATATTTATTTAGAAAATATTTTTTCTCTTTTGTGTGAACAGTGAACGCGTTGTTCGCCTTAATTGACACCCAATTGGAATCCCTGACCGCTTCTGGCGATAATCTGGAGAGCAATATAACCATTGATTACAACGAATTGATCGATAAATCTGTTGAACTCTGCGAAATACTACACAATGACTTCATATTCGCACCGGTAGGTCATAGTCTAACTTAGAAAATGGCGATAATCTCGAGAGCAATATAACCATTGATTACAACGAATTGATCGATAAATCTGTTGAACTCTGCGAAATACTACACAATGACTTCATATTCGCACCGGTAGGTCATAGTCTAACTTAGAAATGAGTGCAATATTTTAATTTATTTCAATTTAATTATCTCTGAAGCCATGCGCCGACATCCGGGACTTAATTATCGACAAAATAGAAAACTATATAATGTATGGCTTGTTCTGCGAGGCCTACAGGAGCACCGGCACTGATCATCTGCGACGACGCTATCGTCAGTACGACTTCGATGACGAGGACGACGGATACGTCGGTCAGAGAGACGGCTTTAACGGCAAACGAGAGCTTCGGCTGGTGTTGAGCGACGAGAACAAGCAATCGATTAGTTTCTATCGTTCAGTATTGGCCGCGTATGTCGAGTCCTATTGGGTGGCCGCCTCTGCCCTCACAAAACTCATTGACGTCCAGTCCAGCGATGAGAAGACATTCTTCAACGGTATGATTGATATCGCAAAAGACAAACAACAAAAAGGTCTTCTCTTTCATGGTATGACTGCTTATCAATAGATGTTTGAGTTTTTAGTTTATTTAATGTATGGTTTGTATTACAGAGGAATGTATAGCCGCCGAGCCCTTCAAGAATGCGGTCAAACTGTTTGAGAGTTGGAATGTATTGAGTGTAGAGACAAACGGGTCGGGCGTCCGACACATCCGACTCACCCCTGAATTCAGTACAATCGGAGCCCTCAATGAAGTGATCGCAAGGATCGAAGAATTCAAGAATTAGTTTATAGTTTCAAATAATACTTATTTTTGGGACAAACCCGTGATTCCATGCAAACAAATGATATGTAATATAAACTGGAATATTATTTTTTATTATCGTATCGTTTGGTATATAATATCGCGAATTATTGTCAACTGTTGTTTGGAAATTGTTTTTAAATGAGTTTTATATTTAAGAGGAAAGTGTGCTTTATGTTTGCCACACGTTTTACGATATGAAGAATGAGATAAATAGTGTTATTTTAAGTCAGACCTCGAGATTTCTAGTGATTTATGTGTCTGTCGAGAGATGTTATGAAATATGTGTTCAATATATTAGAGAGATTTATAGATTACTTATATATTGATAGCCGGGATATGACAGAGAAATGCATTTGTTTTATATGTTTATGAAAAGTGGACATTTTGATGTTAATGATAGCCAGTAGTGAGAAATAAGTGCTCAAAACACAAACGGATCGAAAGTCCTTAATGTAAATATTGTTTTATAGTATTTTCTCATTGAACGGCCAGTCTATGGACCCGTGCGTACGTGTCTGGCATTGATCATCATTTTTGCAAACAAATTAACATTTATTTGAAACAGAAATTCTCATTTTTTATTTAATAACCTTTTTATTTGTTACAGAAATTTATAAATAAAATACCAATTTATTATTTCTAATGATTATAAAGTTAGTTATTTTTAATGTTTGTTATTATATTGCAAACTACGTGTTGTCGTTATATATACTGTGGAAAGTAATCATTTAATAAAATGAGCTTTTAATTGATAAACAGTTATTTTATTTTAATACAAAATCAATATAAATATAATACAGTATATACCGTATAACACGGTACAAAATGATTACTATATCAGTTATTGCTATTCTAACAGTTATGTGCAATAATTATATATTTTTATTAATGTAAATAAAGCTTGTCCGGAAAGTAATTGCACAGATTTTGAATGATCAGCGCGTGAATACCAAGGTATTGTTGGGGAAATCTATGTGGTCATGTTGTTGTCCACTCTATGACCTATCAATAAGTCAATGAGAGTTATGTTCATAAATATTGTTTTATAGTATTTTCTCATTGAACGGCCAGTCTATGGACCCGTGCGTACGTGTCTGGCATTGATCATCATTTTTGCAAACAAATTAACATTTATTTGAAACAGAAATTCTCATTTTTTTATTTAATAACCTTTTTATTTGTTACAGAAATTTATAAATAAAATACCAATTTATTATTTCTAATGATTATACAGTTAGTTATTTTTATGTTTATTATATTGCAAACTACGTATTGTCGTTATATATACTGTGGAAAGTAATCATTTAATAAAATGAGCTTTTAATTGATAAACAGTTATTTTATTTTAATATAAAATATAAATACAGTATATATACCGTATAACACGGTACAAAATGATTACTATATCATAGTTATTGCTATTCTAACTGTTATGTGCAATAATTATATATTTTTATGAATGTAAATAGTTTATTGATTAACTGAATACTAGAGAGTTGTTAATCACATGTTACAATTGTACAATATATTACAAATATTTAATTGTAAATATTCGTTAAATATAAAAAATAAAATATTCGCATAGAAAAGGCAAAAAGAAAAGTAAGGCACCACCGAGATTCGAACTCGGGATCTCCTGTTTACTAGACAGGCGCTTTAACCAACTAAGCCATGGCGCCGCACACTTTCTCATGCTATATATTTGGCTATACGTGCGTACTATTAGTGCTATTCAGTGAATGCTATCAATGTAGCATTCATATCAATGCCGTTATTGTAGGTTTGAGATAAACTTTGAGTGAAACTTAACCTAACATACCGTTTGACTATTACTGTTACTGCAGTCAAGTTGTATTGATGTATGAGAGGAGTCTCTCTCACATATTGGTTTGTATGGCATAATTGAATACATTATGATTGAATTGAATAAAAGTGACTGGCTCATACAAATAATGTTAGCATTTTGTTAGATTAAGCCTTCAAAGTTATAACATTTAACAAACTAATATAATTTTTGCATTTACAATCATTTTAAACATTTAGAATTTATACTCAATATTTACAAGTTAGCAAGTTACAAATATTTTTACTAATTTCCAGAAACTTTTTTTTAATATTCTTTATTTAATTACTAATTTTATTCAATTATATTTATATAAAAGTCATATTAAATGTAAAAATAATTAATTCACACTAAAAATACAGATTAAAAAAGTTGTTATAATGG